AATAACGCTGAAAACCGATAAAAACCCTGAAAACCATACATTTCACACCTGAGCCTCAACTTTCGCGGCCCGGTACCAAACGACTCACGGACCGGTACCGGTCCGAGGCCCGGGGATTGGGGACCGCTGCTTTAAGTGACTTTGAACATGATAACTGGTGTCAGACAGGCTCGTCTGAGAAACTGAGAAACCTGATAACCTGATGCTGAATTAATTTTTACACACAACTGTTAGTCATCAGCCTGTCAGCATTACAAGAGAGTAACGCTTCGCTTTTGAGATCTGACTTTTGTTTCAAAAGTTGCACTGCAGTTTACACACTCACTCAGGCACAGGGCTAAACAGCTTCTAGCTAATCTCTGAAAAAAAGTGCTCTCTTTCTAAAACTACAAATCAAAATGAAGAACGGTTTGGAGCATATTATAATAAACGTGAAATAGTGATCTATGTTGTGATTATTTATTATTGTGATCGATGTGAATAATATCTCCATTTGGAAATTTCAGACAGAGGAAAGAGAGGTGGTGAGTAAGTACCTTTTGAAAGCCCTGGTCCAGATCTAATTTGGAGAAATACGACTGCAGCATTGTGATAATGCAGTGTCAAGGATCTAAGTGGTCTGAATGCAAATCATGCCCACCGTATCCACTTGTGGTCTAAATAATCTCTCTTTTATGAGCGCACATCTGTTACAGACACAGTGGAGAGCATAAATCACTGGCCTAATTTTGAACAAACTCAGACAGAGCAGGATGCGGACTGCAGGATTGCTCCGTGATTTTAAAAAATGCACTCATGAGAGTGACACTTCTGTGGCGACAAAGGGACAAAAATGGAAGTTCAATATACGTTTAGTACAAAATATAAAGGCGGGCTCCATTACTCGCAATACTCAAGTTTAAACCCTGCTATAAAAGGAAGTGCATCAGGCACAATTTTCCGTCTGATGGAATACGCTCCCACGAGAACGTCTGCAAATCAGGGAAATGCTGCATCCTTATTATGTGTGCAATGCAAATCTCTACAAAATGTTACAACCAATATACATCTATATATTTTATATATGGCTGAGTCTCTTTATATCCACTCGTTGTGTATAAATGTGGAGCTGTTTCAAAGTGTCTTCTAGGCTGATAAGCACAATTAGCTTTCAAGTCTGAAAGGTCCTCCTTTTTAATGCTCTGCCAGGCCTTCGCTGCAGCGGCTTTCAGCTGCTGTTTGTTTGTGGGGCTTTCTGTGCAAAGTTTAGTCTTCAACAAGTGAAATGCAAATTTAGTTGGCTTAAGATCAGGTGGCTGACTTGGCCATTCAAGAATATTCCACTTGCTTTAATAAACAGCTGGTTTGCTTTGGCTGTATGTTTTCGGTCACTGTCCATCTGTATTATGAAACGCCGCCCAACCAATTTAACTGCATTTAGCTGGATTTGAGTGGACGCTATGTCTCTGAACACCTCAGAATTCATTCGACTGCTTCTGTCCTGTGTCACATCATCAATTAACACACGTGTCCCCGTGCCACAGGCAGCCATGCACGCCCAAGCCATCATACTATGTTTAACAGATGCCATCATTCTGGTAAAGGTTGATCTTGGCTTCATCTGCCCAAACAATGTTTTTTTCAGAACTGTGCTGGCTTTTGTAGGTGCTTTTTATTTATTTATTTATCAATCAAAGTCCAATCTAGCCTTTCTATTCTTGAGGCTTACGAGTGGCTTGCACCTTTGAACCCTCTGTATTTACTTTCATGTAGTCTTCTCTTTATTGTAGACTTTAATAATGCCTACTTCCTGGAGAGACTCCCTCACTTGACTGGCTGTTGTGAAGGGGTTTCTCTTCACCATGGAAATGATTCTGCAATCATCCACCGCTGTTTTCTGCCGTGGACGTCCAGGTCTTTTTGAATTGCTGAGTTCACCAGTGCTTTCTTTCTCAGTATGTACCAAACTGTAGATTTTGGATGGCTTGGATTGGATGGCTTGTTTCACCTGCATGGAGAGCTTCTTTGACCACATGTTGTCCATTCAAAGCAAAATCTCCCAAATTTAAGCACCACACCTCAAATCAGTGCCAGGCCTTTTATCTACTTAACTGATAATAACATAAAATAGCCTTTGAGACAATTGTCCAATTACTTTTGGTCACCTTTAAAAGAGAGTGGCACATCTTAAGGAGCTAAAACCTTTAAACCCTGCATCCAATTTGAATACGAATGCCCTCAAATTAAAACTGAGAGTCTACACATTATGTCCATTTCCATTATATAACTATAATAGGAATGTGCTTCATAAACAGGTTAAAAACAAAACAAAACTTGTGTCACTGTCAAAATATATATGGACTGAACTTTTCTGGGAAAAAATAAAAAATAAAAAAATCACACCATGTTGCTGTTTAAATGACTCTTAAGTGAAGATGAAATTTCACCGTTTTGAAAATAACTTCTTGTTGCACCCAGCTCTGATGACAGCTGCCTGGTCACCTCGCCTGCTTATGCTTTTCAAACAATTTTAAATAGTTCGCTTATCCACTCACCAGGCCATCACAAGTACTTATAGCTGCGCTCCCTTTCACAATGGCATCATCCCACACTTCACCCAAGAAATGACAGTGGGAGGATCCAGCAGGTTTGATCCGTGCCCCCTTCAGGCCACCAAACCTCCTCTCAGTCATGAAGCCTGGAGCCAGCAGGTGAGGATTCAGAGTGAGGTTGAAGTGCAAGTTGTGGCCGCCGTGCCAAAACTGGTAGAAGATGCGATCTAGTCCTGCTGGTTCCACTGAGGCTTCCCTGCGCTGTAAACGGCGAGCATGGTGAGACAGGAAATTGGACAGGAAGTGACCCTTGGCATCCACTCTCGTAGGGTGAACCACCTCGTACAAAGGGAAGTCATCCTGAAATCTTTCTGTAAAAGCGGTGATGGGAAGAAGACTCGTTATTAAATCGCAGGAAACTGGATTGAAATTAAATAATCATCTGGCTGCAAAGCTGTAAACAAAACCTGGGAAACTCTAAACACACACATATCTGCTAATCTGTCACTTTATCTTTGAATATAACTGACATATATGCAGCACTTCTTAAAAATATATTCTTTGACGCTTCACTCTCATGTTTAATAGTTTGCATTGTTGCTGGAAGACTGAGTTTCACAAACCATCATTTGCTCTGATCTGGAATAGCTTTGTCCAATGCACGGAGAACAGTGTGACAAAAAATATAAGGACTGCGCCTCAAGAAGCAGGATGAGCAGTTTTTCCATCTTATTTCTATCCATACAATTTCATTGTACCTAGCTAAATCTTGCTAAATCAGTGTTTATTTCTTTTAGTTTGCAATACTCAGTAATCACTGTGTATGTTTAGTATCCACTGACAGTACACCCCCCACAGCTGCTATGCTTATCACCACATACAGTCACATGAAAAAGGGGTTTTTCACAGGACTCCATGCAGTCCAGTGAAAATCTAAGTACACCACATGATTCAGTAGCTTCTTTAAAACATTGCTTCAGTTTATTAAGGTTTGCAGGCATTTATTGTGTTGAGGTCTGGACTTCACCACCTTAATTTTCTTTGCTTTTTCAGCTATTCTGTTTTAGATTTGCTGCTGTGCTTTGGATAATTATCCTGCTTCACGACGTAATTTGTGACATGCTTTAGCTGTTGCTCTCACTCTAAAATACTCAGAGGAGCTCATGGTTAACTCAATGAATGCAAGATGGCCACGACTTGTGGTTACACAACAAGCCCAAATCATCACCCCTTCACTACCGTGCTTCACAGTTGGTATGAAGTATTCATGCTGATATGCTGAGCTTAGTTTTCGCCAAGTGTGCCGCTGTGCATTAGGTCCAAATCTCCACTTTATCTTGTTTGTCCAAACAACATCGTTCCAGAAGTCTTGTGCCATGTGATGATGCACCTTTGCAGACCTAAGATGTGCTGTCTCCCGTCTCCTTGCAACCCTTTCAAAGATACTCGTTTTGTCTGTTTCTCACTGAACTGTCATAAACGTGAACATTTAACACACTAATGGAGGCCTGTACAATCTGCGCCTGCAAGGTCTGATTTTTGTTTGACTTTGTC